GCATGGCTGCCAGCTGACCAGGTTCAAACCTTGGCAGCAACATGCATCCCGAATCTTCATAATTATAATCCGGGAGCCGGGCATGTGCCGCGTGCATGTGCGTATGCGGCCTGCTGTTTTCCTCTGAAAACACCTAAAAAACAGCCAAAACGCCGTTGTCGGGTTTACACCATATTTCCACTGTATGAGGTGTGGTGAGTGTGAGCGGGGAACGTTCCCGCTCTGATACCAGTGTGACGCACCCGCCGGGATGGCAGTCTGTGAGGATCAAGACGAAGGGTTGAGGGGGAGGAGATGGAGATGGAGCTGGAAGGGACAGCGCAGCTCCGACACGGACTCGACTAAAAAACAGCCAAAACGCCGTTGTCGGGTTTACACCATATTTCCACTGTATGAGGTGTGGCGAGTGTGAGCGGGGAACGTTCCCGCTTTGATACCAGTGTGACGCACCCGCTGGGATGGCAGTCTCTGAGGATCAAGACGAAGGGTTGAGGGGGAGGAGATGGAGATGGAGATGGAGCTGGAAGGGACAGCGCAGCTCGGACACGGACTCAACACGCACGCACTCCGAAAGTGCAAAATGAAGAATGAAACTGGAAACAGACTGCAGTTGGGGTATACCCCAGCGGACTAACTGGACTGGACTGGACTGGCCTGGTATGTGCGTATGCGGTCCGTTGTTTTCCTCTGAAAACACCTAAAAAACAGCCAAAAAAGTCGTTGTCGGGTTTACACCATATTTCCACTGTATGCGGTGTGGTGAGTGGGAGCGGGGAACATTCCCGCTCTTATACCAGTGTGACGCACCCGCCGGGATGACAGTCTGCGAGGATCAAGATGAAGGGTTGAGGGGGAGGAGATGGAGATGGAGCTGGAAGGGACAGAGCCGCTCCGACGCAGACTCAACACGCACGCACTCCGAAAGTGCAAAATGAAGAATGAAACTGGAAACAGACTGCAGTTGGGGTATACCCCAGCGGACTAACTGGACTGCACTGGACTGGCCTGGTACCGATAGTGGTACGGGGCAGGACTGGACTGGACTGAATGAATATACGGCCTGTGGGGTCAGGCCACGGCCTGGTCCCACAGGCCGAACAGGCAAAATAGCCTGATAGCTAGGGCAAATAGAGGTATGCTGCAGGCAGACGGCCTCCGCGGCTCCGGCCGCGGTTGGGTGTGGCTGCAACTTTCAGATTTTTTTTAGGCCAAAAATAATTCTAAGAAAAAAAACTAAAAAAATAATGTTGTAGTTTCGAGATCTACATTGCGCATTTTTTTATTATTTTTTTTGATTTCGTCTTTGAATTTTAGAAATTCAAAAACTAATTTTCGTGAGGCAAAAGTTTTTTTTTTTTTTTGTTGAAACTTGTGTTTTTTTATTTCAACTTGAAAAAGTATGAAACTTATGTGTTTTTTTATTTCAAATTCAGTAAAGTTTTTGGTTATGCGCACAAGGGGCATGGTCCCATTAGCAGTGGGATAGGAGTGTGGCCTATTCAGTGTGACACCGATAGGAGTGTGGCCTATCCAGTGTGACACCGATAGGAGTGTGGCCTATCCAGTGTGACACTGAGTGGCAGCGGCCAGACACATTCATTACGAATTTCTGGGCTGAGAAAACAAGAAAAAGGCCAAAAAAACAAAAAGAAACAGAGATCTGCCACCGGAAATCACGGCAGAGTGCTTCCCAACCATCAGATCACAAATGATCTGATGGTCATGGTTGCAAAAACAGTGAACAAAGTAACGGCCACATTGTTTTGGAATAAAATCGACTTCTGTCTTTGGAATAAAATTGTCTTCTGTCAGAAGTGATCCTGACACCCTCCATATACTCCGTGATTGAAGGAGGGCTCCACCCAATGAGATAATTGCACAACAGCAAGTAAAATGCTGAAAATCTTCTATCCAGTGGTCTAAGGCCGACCCCAACCTCGTTTGGGGTTGGCCACACCCCCAACCGATTGAAAAGATTCTGACGGGAAGCTGTCTTTGCACGGGCATGCCCAGTATTAAGGAGAGGGGGAGGGGAACGAAGATCTCCTTACTTTTTCGGGCAGGATTTGGGTCACTCAACTGCCCCACAAACTCGTTTCTATCCTATCCAGTTGCTAGTGGGACCATGCCCAGGGCAAAAGTTGTTCAATTTATTTTTCTGCATTAACTCTTTTTTTTCCAGATTTTTCATTTTTTTTTTATTTTTAAAATTTTATTTTCATGGCCGGGGGGTCGTGGCCTTGGTCGCGCGTGGCCACCTGCGGGGGGGAATCATAGCCGAGCACCCTTAAGTAGTGCCAAACGTTTGTTGGTTCCAGTTCTGGAGTGCCTACTGCACTCTTAGGGGGGCTGCTAGGTTCGGGGTGTCTGCGTTGCCTGTGGGTGATGATGGATGCTCATCGGAGTGATTCCCTGGGCTCAGTGGGTGGTGGGAACCAACAATCTGTGGGGTTCAATCGTGATGTGAGTAGGTCATGCGCTGATTTGCTCCGTGTTGGATGTGTGGACTGCCTTGCCCGCGCTCTGCCACTTCCTTGCTGGCTGCATGTGGCTCTATGCAAATTGTTGTATTCACTATGTGGTGTGGTAGTGTTGTTGGTGTTGCTTGCGCTTCACTACTCCGCTGCCTTGCTGCTCATCTGCTGGCCGTGCCTTCCGTGTCTGCCGCATGTGTGCCTTGTTGGTTGGTTGCCTCGTTGCTGGTGCCTTGTGCTCCGCTCCACGGTTGCCGAGCTGCTGGTCTGCTTGCCCTGTTGTCGTTTGCAGTGTGGTCGCCTTGATTGTGTTGTTTTGTGCTCACCACACGGTTACTGCGCTGCATGTCCTGTGTGCCATGTCGTTCCTTCCAGTCGTTTTTGGCGTTGTGCAGCCATGTTGGCTCTATTGTGTTGCCTGGTGCTCCACAGGGTTGCTGCCCATTGCTATGTTCAGCTTGGGGACAGTCTGCCTTCAACAAGGGTCAAAGGGTTCATGACCCAAATCATCAAATACGGAGATTCCGCAGATTGTCGGGGTTCAGCCTTCTGATGAGTCGGTGCAACTCCAACAAAACAATCTATCATCATTTTTTTGGAGGGAAGTATGTTTTTGTCACATGGGAGTTTGTAATGGGCACAAAAAACAGCCTTCGGCATCTGTGTCAGGGCCTGAGTTTGAAAAGGCGTTCGTAACTCAAGGCCGGCAGTGGTGTCAGGGCGGAGTTCGAAAAGG